GCAAACAGAACCCAGAAATAATAATAAGCATTGGCCAGAATGGGGAGAATTTGAAATGCTGTTGGTAGGGAAATGAAATGGCACTGTCACTGTGGAAAACAGCATAGTAATTCTCCAAAGAAATAAAACAAAGACTGAGCATTGTAGCTCACACCCGCAATCCCAGCACTTGGGAGGCCGAGGCAGTAAGAGCGTACAAAAACAAGACACAAATAATAGCAATATTTTTTTAACATTTAAAAACTTTTCAAATGACAGTCACAATCACATTGGCAGGATGGGTAATGGGTATGACTCAGAGAGGGGGTGTATTTGGGTGGTGTTGGAATATATGTGAAAGCTAAGTCTTCATCTTCACAGTGAGAAGGGAAAAGATAGTGCCTAAAGCTGAAGATCAAGAAACTGAGAGAGAGAGAGAGACAGAGACAGAGACAGAGGGAGAGAGAGGTGAGTTTAATAATGTGGCAGAGCAGACCAGAGGATTCAGCTAGGAGGAGAAAACAGTAGCCTCTAGGGAGAAGGAAATGGAGTGAATAACTTAATTTTTTTTTTTTTTTACAAAACCTTGCAAACAATTTGGATCTCTAAACTAGGTGCAACTTTAAGAATAGAAAGTAAAAAATAACCTAAATCAAAAGCAAACTGAAAACTGCTCTAGAAGGTTATGTGACCAGGATGTGGGCACCCAGGGCCTGGGTCACCTTCATATCACCTTGAGGAACAGTAGCCATCATGTCTAGTATAGTCATGACTACTGCACTCCATCCCTCTCCCCAAGACAAATAGGGGCGCTCAGAGCATCTCTTTGAGAGAGAAGACACATTTGCATGGATACAGGCCCATTGTTTGCTAGCATAGCCACACATTCATGTGTATTGGAAAGTGTAATTAGCATATCAAACCTGTGATTTCATGGAGATTATGGCTTCCGATGAAGCTGAGTTTATTAAGTGAAAGGATTTAAGGAAAATCAAGTTGGCTCTTTATTTCCATGGGTTCCACATCCCTAGATTCAACCAACCATGGATAGAAAAATATGAGAAAAAAAATTGCTTCTGTATTGAACATGTACAAACTTTTTTTTCTTGTCCTTAGTCCTAAACAACACAATACAGAAACAATTTACATAGCATGTACATTGTATTAGGTTTTCTAAGTAGTCTAGAAATGACTATTCAGAAGAGTATGCCCAAATTATGTGCAAATACTAAGCCATTTTACAGATGGGACTAGAGAATCCAGAGTTTTCTTTTTGTATTTCTCTCTCTCTCTCTCTCTTTTTCCAGTCCTAGGGCTTGAACTCAGGGCCTGGGCACTGTCCCTGAGCTTCATTTGCTCAAGGCTGGCACTCTACCACTGGAGCCACAGCACCACTTCTGGCTTTTTCTTTTTATGTGGTACTGAGGAATCAAACCTAGGGCTTCATGCATGCTAGACAAGCACTCTACCACTAGGCCACATTCCTAGCCCCTCTTTTTTTTTTTTTCTTTCTATTCCTGGGGCTTGAACTCAGGGCTTGGATGCTATCCCTTAGCTTTTTCCATTCACGTCTGGCACTCTACCACTTGAGCAACAGTTCTACTTCCAGCTTTCTGCTGGTTACTTGGAGATAAAAGACTCACATACTTTTCTGCCTGTCCTAGTTTTGAACCCAGTCCTCAGATCTGCTATAGCATAGCTCCTGCATAGCTAGGATAACAGGTGTGAACCATCAGCGCCTGGCTTTTCTTTTGAGATAAGGTCCCCTATGCAGTTCAAGCTCCTCCCTAGAAGGGGAGACATGAATGGAGGCTCCAAGGATGGACAAAGGCAGCTCTACAATAGTGATATAGGCAGAGGGTGAAATCTGACAAAGTCCTGCAACTTATTTCTTAGAGGTAGAGTAAGGAACAGGGCTGCTGAACCTCTGGTGATTCTGAGGCTGGACATGGAGGTGTGACAAGGGCAGGAGCCATGCTGACAGCAGCTGGAGGGTCACCTATGTCTATATATGGAGAACTCAGTGCACTGGGGTTTGGGGATTTTTCTCTTGAAACATATAAGCAGGTAGGGCCCATATGTTTAACTCAGCCTATGCCTCAAGATAGAGGTTGGCTCAGGACAGGGACTTGTCTGGGTGGCAGAGCCATTCTAGGCCCTTTTGTCCTGGGCTTTCTCCCTCTCCTTTTCACAGGACTTAACCAGTTCAGGTGCCTGGATAAGTCCCAGTTCATTGTTTGGGTTCAATGCTGGCTTTATCATGTCATGGCTGTGTGACCTCTCTGTCATTTACCAACTTATAAAAATAGTATGAACAAAAACCTTGCTGCTTAGAGAGGTAGGAATCGAATGGGTACAAGAAACTGAGGTACTCAGAACAGTGCCTGACTCCCATTAGTATACAATAAATATTAGCTATCGTTATTATTTGAAGTGGTCTTTTTAACCTTTTCCCTCACTCAAATATCATCTAATACTTGTTATATGCCAAGCTTTATATTTATCCTCTGAAAACACCCTCCTCCTAGACAAAGACAGAGACAAACCCTGCTCTCTGGGATAGGTATCCAGAGATTAGGCAAGGCTGGGTCCCATTCACAAGGAGCCCAGGGACTGACGAGGGCAAAGGTGCATACACAGCTGATGTCAGCACAGGGTGATCCAGGCTGTGACAAATGGAAGCCAGAGACTGTGGGGACCCAGGGAAGAGTTTTAGCCTAGATGGAAGTAAGGGAAGACAGGAGAGCCTCTGTTGAGGGGGCTGTGGAGGGACAGAGTAGCCTATTCTGGCAATTTGACATGAGGGTAGATCATGTAAGCAAAGGCTTCCTGGTGTTGGGAAGCCATCCTGCATTTTTGAACTGGGAATTATGTTTGGATCATAGTAATAATATAAGATTTATTGAGCTCTGAATGTATTTTTGGATGCTACTCATATACAATTTCATCTAATAGAGCCCTCAGAGCAGTCCTGTGTGACACTGGGTCAGTCAGTGTCAGTGCTCTTAATCCATTTGCTGCCTCTGAACTTCTCCATGCCCAAGTCTTAGAGCTGGAGTGAACCTTTGAGACTATTGTTTCTTCTATTTTACAGACAGGTAACTGAGGTCAGAGGGGGACTTTCCTAAGACTGCAGAGTGGGGGAGGGGCAGAGAGGACTGATTCAATCCCTGGCTGCAGGAGGGTTCCATCCCAGTTCCATTCACAGTCCAGGCCTGCTTTGATCACCATGCCACAGTGGACATCATGCGGCCTGCAAAGCCCTCCAGTACTGCGTACCCCATCACCAGACTCTAGCCCACTGTCAAGTTCCTATATTGCATTCTCTCTACCAGGATTACACTTAGTCTTCATGTGATCAGGTTCCTTCTTGCCAGTCAGTGAAATGTCACACTTTCTCTAAAAGTTACCCCATCTTCTCATATCACCCCAACTTATTTTTACCAGAGCAATTATAATACTCCAAAATCCCCCCCCCACTCTCTTTTGCTTGCTTGCTTTTGTGTTCCTCCCAACTAAGACACAAGCTCTCTAGGAAGCCTGGGAGGGAAGTTATCTATTTCTGTGAGGTATCATTGAGGCCTGAACTGCGTTGGACATACAAGAGATACTCCATAAGTCTTTGTGACCATTTCATTGTTAATGATCTATCACTACTAGCCAGCGATCTCTCTGGGGCTGCACCCCAAGGATGAGATCAGAGCCTGGATACTCCTGTTGAGTGACTGGACACCCAAGGGATCATGGAAGGACTACTCAGGGTCTCTTGCTTAGGGTAAATGTCTTTCCCTGTGGAGGTGCTACAGTCATGGCCACCGGCTGTCCTTTGAAGAGAGTCATGGGACTCTGGAATCTGCTGAGATTGGGTGGTTTCCAGGCCTAGGGTTCATAGTTCCTAGCCTTCCATGGTGGAGAAAGGGAAATGGAGGGAGGGGTGACCTAACGATGGGCTTGCACCTGCAAGCTGGTCCTGGTTGGTGGTCAAAGCCCTCAAATCTCCTTCTGTAAAGAAGGTTATACCATCAGTGCAGGCTCATGAGCAGGTGGCTGAAGTGTAGTCACATGCTCTGCTCTCCACACCCCACACCATGAAGTGGGCGAGTGGGGCTGCTGTCCTCCACAGGCGGTCCCTTCTTTGTTCCAGGGCTAGTGGAGCAAACAGAGGTTGTGGCCCCTTGCAGCGGAGATCCCGTGTGGGGGACCCTCCTGGCCTTTTCTCCATCACAGTAGGCATCACCTCGTCATCCCAGTGGGCCCCTGATTGCTCCTCTGCCTTGGGCCATGGGGGGAAAGACTCAATGTGAATGAACAACAGTGTTCACTGGACCCAAGCCACCTGCCTCACACCCTTGCCCGCGATCGTGGGTGTAACACACAGACGCACATGGGCACTGAGAGCAGCTAGGACAGGCGCAGAGGTCCTGCCCCAAACCCCAGCTACCCCGCATCAGAATAGCTCGGGGTCCCATCCCCTAGCCCTGTGCTGCTCACCCGCACCGCACACCGCACAGGCCTGTGGCTGGCATTTCTTTGGTGCGCCCCCCCCACCTCCCCCCTCAGATTAGCTTGTCGCCTCCTCCTCGAGGCCAAGGCCGCTTTCTTCGGACCTGCTTCTTGAAGGGCCAAGAGGCCTGGCCTGGCTCACCCCTCGTCTGCAGCGCCCCGCTATCCAGCGGGCGGTGAGTGGGACCGGCAAGCGACAGCGGAGGGCGGGGGAGCAGAGGAGGCGAAGGCGGCGACGGCGGGCGGAGCGCAGGGCGGAGGCTGCGGCGGGAGGGAGCGCGCGCGCCGGCGGCGGCAGCCCAGGGCCGGGGCCGCGCGCCCAGCCTGAGCCCGCCCCGCCGCCGAGCGTCACCGAACCTGCTTGAAATGCAGCCGAGGAGCCGGGGCGGGCGGCAGCGGTGGCGGCGGCGGCGGCGGGGGCAGCGGCAGCCCCGGCGCCGCGGCGAGGACTCAGCGGGCTGAGGTTCGGCAGCGGTGCAGGGGGCGCGGGGCGCGGCGGCCGGTGCCCCGGGCCCGCCATGGGCCGCCCGGCACGGGGCGCGCTCCGGCCGTGTTCCTCCAGCATCTCGCGGCGGCGGCGGCGGCGGCGGATCCGCTGCCTGACGGCCAAGGTGCGTTCAGCGAGTCCGGGGCCCGGCTCTGCGCCGCCAACAAAGCGCGGCCTGGAGGTCGGGGCGAGGGGTGGATGGGTCGGCGCGAGGTTCCCCGGAGGAAGGCGCTTTACTGGCCCCGGCTGCGCCTGGATTTGCCTTGGCTCCTCCGCCCGCGGCTCCTTGCGCGGAGAGCTTTGCCCTGCGGGCACCGGGCTCTGGGAGGATGGGCGCGGGCGGGGGGGCGCCGGGCGGCGGTGAACTTTGCGGGAAGGTGGCGGTGGCGGTGGTCAATCGCGGTCTCGCAGCCTGGGGGGCTGATGAGCGCGCTCGGCCGCGCCGACCAGCGCAGCCTCGCCGCCTCCCCTCCTGACAATGCGTTTCCGAGGACCCCGGCGAGGGGCGGGGAGATGGCTGATGGAGGGGAGGGGGCGAGCCTGGGCGCCCGGCGCGCGTGTCGCGCGTGGACCGGGGCTCCCCGCGAGCGGGGTCCGCGCGGATCTCTGACTGCGGGCCATGTGTGCGGCCGAAGTGTGTCTGAATGACGGGAGGTGTATCCAAGTCGTGTGTCACCCACTCTTAAATACGAGCTTTTCTTGTTCTGCCACCGAGAAGCCGGACACCCGAGAAACCCAGGGCCCCCACCCCTCCTCCTGGATCAAAGGTGTCCGAAGCGCAACCTGCCCCCTCCTCCCCTCCCCCACCCCCGATCTCCAGTATCGTCCCTTTTCCTTCGCCACAGCGTATCCCTGGCGTCCGGGGCTGCGTAGTGGAGAGCGGGACTCGAACCTGCTGACCCACCTCACGACCCCTCCCCCCTGCCTCCGACTCCCACAGGACCCGCCAAGGAGTGCGAAGTGGATCAGTTCCGGTGTCGGAACGGGCGCTGCATCCCCTCGGTGTGGAGATGCGACGAGGACGACGACTGTTCGGACAACAGTGACGAGGACGACTGCCGTGAGTGCCCAGCCCCGGGCGCGCAGACTCGGGTGGCCGGCACAGTGCGTGGGGGCGAGGGGAGCGCCGCGCTTCGATTCCACTTGGCTGCCGCTTCCACGGGGCCACCTGCTCAAGGCCGCCCCTCTTTTCCTCGGGCGGGGTGGCTCTTAGCTACCGGCGGGGCGCCGAGCTGCAGGCGTGTCCTAGTGGAGCCTGGGGTGGAGCCCAGGGCGAGGTGCCCCGGGGCGCGCTGGGCTCCGGGGGCGCAGGAACTGTGGGCGGGGACGCAGCCGTCCCTGCAAGCGTCCACCCACCGCCGACCCGGTAGCCTGCGCCCCCACCGGCCGTGCGCGTGTCTCAAAGTTCCACGCCGCTCAGGGCCGCGCCGCGCTCCTTTTCCTGCTCGGGTTTTTGTGAATGAATGGGCTCTCCAGGTCCCCTGATTGGCTGGGCAGGGACCACCCCACAGGCCTCCGTGGCCGGAGCCACCAATCGTGGAGCGGGCGGGTGTGTAGTATTCCCGCAGCCCTGGCTGTAGGGGCTCCGCCCAGGCCGCTTCGCCCGCGTGCGTCCTCCGGTTGGAAGGTGCAGGCTGGGCGCCACCTCCCGCTGCTTTTCTGTCTAGTCACCGTCAAGACCTTTTTCAAACCACCCTCGGACCGGTCCCCCGCGCCAGCCCCGCCTCGGGGTGTGTCACGGGCCACCCGGAAGGAGGGGACCATGAGGAAGGGTTTGTTTCCTGGAAGGGGTTATAGGAGCCCGAGGCGGAGCGTGAACCCTCTGCTGCCGCTGCCTTTGCTCAACGTGCTGTTTGCACAACTGAATTTAATTTCCTTCTCCTGTGAGCCGGGTTGCAGGGATCTGTGGGTGCTGAAGGCGTGAGCAGGCAGGACCCACAAGGAAAGAAGGAAGGTAATTCCAAGAACAGAAAAACGTGTCTCTTCCAGAAACACAGACCCAGGCAGTTACTCGGTTATCATTACCCAGGCCAGCAGTGTGCTAACACCGGGCACGCGGGATCAACCCACCAGCTTGGGAGCCCTGGGGCAAGGAAGGAGAGCATTCAGGGCAGAAGCACACGCACTCACCCTGCACAGGAAGGGAGTAGCGCCACATTGCCGCAGCACACTGTCAGTTGGGTACCTGAGTTCTTTTGATTTTTTTTTTTGACCAGTCAGCCTTACATTTCACTCAGACCTAGCCTAGTGGTCCTGTGACTTGACCACATTGTTTCCACGTGCCTCAGTTTCCCCACTCAGCTGGCCACTTGGGCTGATCATTGGTGCCTAGGTGGCCTTGCAGGACTGTGTTGAGGAATAATTCTAGAAGTGTCATTGGAAGTAATGAGGCACGTGCTGCCCACTAACTGCAGAACACTGGGCTAACTCCTCTGCTCTTCTTTCTTGTACAGACCAAACACTGAGACACCCAGGGCTTCAGTTACGAGAGCTATGTGACTGAACTGCTAAGTAGGAGCCTGAACTTGAGCATCTGCTCCCAGAGTCCTTAGCTAATCACAATCCTGACCATGTCCTAGTTCTTCTGAAGTTATGAAAATGGCTATGGTTGGGTCAAATGCCTGGGAATTATTGTAGTGTCCTTAGAGGATGGTGTTGAGGTAGGGGTGGGCAAACAGAAACAGTTCCTGGACTGACTGCACTTTATCCCCTTGCCTGATTTTTTTGTTGTGTTTTATGATGCTGGGTTGGGATTGAACCTGGGTCCTTGCACAGGCTAGGTAACCACTTGATCACTGAGCTGAATCCCTACCTCCTCCTTGGCTCTTTATAACAGCAGTCTAAGAAAGTGGCTGTGAATTCAGACAGAAAGCTTTTCTTGTCATTCTGCTTTATAGATAAGGACACCGGCTTAATTTGATTTGCCTAAGATGACACAGATTTACAGAGGTTGGTCAAGATCTCTGCCTGCATCCTAGCTTGGGCACTGACTGCTGTGGTGTGATATGGAAGGATCTAGAAGCTGGAAAGCTATATGTTAAGTGTTAGGCCTGTGTGTGGCTCTAGGCAAGATATTGTAGTAACAGAGTGGCTTTGGATGGCCCCGGGTGGAATGGAAAGAGTGACCAATGTGAGGGTGGGTGGAGTCATGGATAGGCATAGTTAGTGCCTATGTCATTAGCTATCAGTGGAAAGGGCTTGGCTTAGGCAAGGTGATGGCAATACCTTGTCAATCAGAAAAGTCATACTAGCCTATTTCCTTATCTGCTACACAGGATAGTGGTCCAACCAACCTATGCTATATTGTAGATGAAGGCTTCTCCCAGGAAAGGTAAAGAAGAGAGGAGGAGGGAGAAGCTTTATTTATTTATTTATTTTTGTCCTAGAGGTTGAACTCAGACTGCTGTTGCTTGGCCTTTTTGATCACTGCTGGTGCTCTACCACTTTTGTTGAGTCACATTCATTAGTTAATTGAAGATGAGTGTCTTGAGAATTTGTCTGCCCAGGCTGGCTTTGTACCTCAATCCTCAGATCTTAGACTTCTGAGTAGCTAGGATTATAGGCGTCAACCACCATCACTTGACCCACTAAGGTCTTAATAAACCTCCTTTGCCACTAAGGTCCCCCATTCAGGGTCACCTGTCCCGATTGAGCATCCCTGTTCTGTCCTCCAGGCTGCTGGCTCCTCCCTGAGCACCCTGACCTACCATTGCCACCTTCCTTGGTGCATGCTCTCTCCACTAGAGGGCCTGACCTCTCTACCTCTGGGCTACAAGTTGGGGGATGGAATTTGTAAGTAAAGTCTCTGTGAGGCAAAATGAGTTCAGGCTCCTGATGGGGCCAGAGCACAGTCCCTGAGTAATCAGGAGGCTGATGTCCTGGCAGGCTTTTTGTGTTAAGAAAGCCAAGAAAGACTTCCTGGAGGAGGGGGCAGCTGAGCTAGCCCCCTGAAAACTGGTAGCTAGTACCAGCTTTAAGTACCTCAGTACTTACCATTTAAAAATAGATGGCCATCTCTCTACAATATAGAGGACAACTGAGGCTGGAAAAGTGATATGACTCTCCCATGGGTTAGATCTGGAACTCTTAACTGAGGTCTTCTAAGTCTTGATCCTTAGCTACATTGTGGATCCTTTGGAGACAGAGCTAGCAGGATGAGGAACGGAAGAGCTCTTGGGGCTTCAGTTTCCAGATCAGAGGACCTTCAAAGTGGAGGAAAGGGCTGGAAGCCAGAGGGCCAGGCCCAAGAAAGGGAAGTCTGGTGGGATTCTTGGCTGCCTGTGGACCTAGGGCACGTAGACCTGCTGGCCACTAGGCCTTGTTTTCCTGTTGCTCCTGGTGTGTGTCTGGGGATAGAAGTGGGATTCTGGTCTCTGGCCAGGCTTTTACTCCTGGAGTGATAACCATACACTCACTGGATAGCACTGAGCATTTGCTACAGGCCAGGCACATTGCCAAGGTCTCACACTTAGCTCCCAGGGCTCCTCTAGTCTGTCAAATGGGACAACTCTGTGAGAACCTTAATCATCCCCAGCTTACGAAGGCTTAGAACACAAAGGAACTGTGAAACACACAACCATAGAACCTATGCCTTCTTATGTGCCCAATCTTTGGTTACATATGTGGGGAATCTTGTCATAGGACTGGTGAGGGGCAGAGACCTTCTTTCCTTCCTATCTACTCACTGGCTACGTTCATTTTGTCATCTTAGAAGATTTGGTACAGGTGTTACTTCCTCTAGGAAGCCTTCCCTGTCACACCCTCCTCCCAAGCTGAGATACAGGATTTGAAATAAGAGACGGAAGGACCAAGGTTGAAATCTCAATATGGTACAGCCTTGGATTGGACATACCTGGTTTTCCCCGCAGTTGTCACTGCCTGACCTAATAGCATGGGGTGGCTATAGTCCCTTCTTAGAGATGTGAGGACTAAGTGAGAGCCTATGCTTGGTGAACAGGAGGCAATAGGGAGGAGTCTTAGTTTCACTGAGCATCCTGGGCACCTGGCTGTAGAGGCTGTTTCCCCTACTCTTCCCAAGCTACGTTGGAGCCATGCTTCCCCCACTACTTACACATGATTCTCAAGGCTCCTTCAGGAGCTGCTGGTCTTAGCCAAAGGGTTGGCAAGTTTCTGTGGAGTGGTCCCAAGTCACTCAGCCTCAGCAGGGCCTGATAGTGGCAAAAAGCAGTCTGAGGAAGAACTAGGGAAGAAACAAGTCCAATAGAACTGGTTGGTCTCAATGATCAACTTAGTAGCCTGGGGCCCTAGAAGGAACAGGAACTCTTTAGCCTCCTGTTTCTTTCCTCCTGACTGTACCAGAAGCCACTGTGGCTGTGCCAGAGGGCGTCAAGCTTCCCTTGATTCTAAACCCAGGCCTGTGCCCATGGGCTGGTCCCAGACGGCCATGGGAGTGTTTGCCAAACATCTTCCATTAGCCTTCCAGGGCCCTGCTGAGTCTGAGTCCCCCCTGGGAGCTCCTAGTTTCTGAGGCCTGCTAGGAGTCAGAGCTACAACTGGGCCAGAGCTGTTGGGATTCTTTCTGCCCAGCTACCTGCAGGCAGCTGAGTTGACAGCTTTGCTTCTTGGGGAAATGCTGTCAGCAGGTAAAGCCAGGGAAGGACCTCCATGGGGAGGGAGAAGAGAATAAGAACCTCTATGACTTGATGGAGCAGGTGCCTCTCTGGGTGAAACCTACTCTCCTAGTCCTGGGGAGGAGCATGGACATGCCTCCAGGTCCACAGTGTTCCAGAAAGGCCGGCCTGGAGCTGTGGGAGGGCCTGAGGTATAGAGTCAGTCTGGAGACCCCAGCTCTAAGAGGCTGATGACACCAGGCCATCCAGTCTCTGGAGGCCTGACAGAGTGCCCTTCCTGATCCTGTCCTCCAGTCCTTGAGCTACACTCTGTCTCAATCTCAGATCCTTCACCCTGTCAGCCTTGTGTTGGACACAGGGGAACCTTGTCTCCCTCTAGGGATTTACTAGCAATAGATATTGAGTTATTGGCTGGTCCTCATGCCTGGAGCATGTTGGGCATTTTGCTGTCTTTACCTTTACTACTTAA